ACTGGTTCGTAGTTAAACGGCTTCTCAGATATCTTAAGGGCACAATTGAATATGGTCTCTTCTATAAAAAAGGAAGAAAAATAAGTTTCACTGCATATAGTGACAGCAACTATGCAGGAGATACAAATGATAGGAGAAGCACATCCGGAGCAGTATTCATGATAGGAACAGCAGCTGTATCATGGGCTTCGAAGAAACAACCTGTAGTAAGTCTGTCACCACTGAGGCTGAATATATTTCTGCAGCATTTTGTGCTTGTCAATGCATTTGGCTTAAAAGAATTTTAGAGCAGCTTGGAATAGAAAAAACAGAAGCTACTGAGATTTTATGTGACAATAATTCAACCATTCAGCTGTCTAAAAATCCTGTCTTCCATGGCAGAAGCAAACACATTACAGTACGGTTTCACTTTCTCAGAGATCTAGTTAACGATGACGTAATTAATTAAGATATTGCAGCACAACTGAGCAACTGGCCAACATAATGACAAAAGCCTTAAAACTGGATCAATTTGAGAAGATCAGACGTATGCTTGGAGTACTGGAGGCTACTGAAATAAGCTAAAAGCTTAAGGGAGGGATTGTTGACTATTTTTACGTGTTGATATTTATTAAATAATTGCCCCGATTTCTAGGAAGAGTGAATGCAGGGGTACTAGTTTTTCGTCCACTATTCACGTAGGTTGTTAATCAGTTTATTTGTAAAGGCTTATAAAGTCATCTCCAGTATCTAAATAAAATATGCAGTACACATTTTTGAATTGCATCAGTCAATTTTGTTTGAGTTTTAACACAAATTACGATCTACTATCTTTAGAAAAATCTGTTGTTATTGAAATGTATACAAATTTTGATGAATAATATTTTAAGAAGGATTGGTGGGATTTTAAGTGACATTTTGGTAGGATGTATAAAATATCATATACTCATCAATTAATCTAACCCTTATCCTATATTTTTCAAAATCTTTCCTTCTCACTTAATTGTTATATTTTTCATTTTTTTCTATCATAATTGAAGGGTGGTATATATAAATATTGAAATGCATTATTTATTTAATAGTTTTCTTCATAAAGAATATTGCTAATGATAAATAATCAAATGAACTACTAGATTAGTTTTTATTCTCAGATTACCAAATAATGAAAATCAAAATTTTGAACCTATTATTTAAATCATTTAAATCTAAGGGAAGGAACAAGATGTTAATGTATAAAGACTAGTACATAGAATTAAAATCAATTAACTATTAAAACATTAAAAATTTGCTTTATAGTTTTTTTATTATTTTTTATTAACACTTGTATTTTTGAATTTTTTATAAGAGTACGTTAAATTCTTTCAAATCTTTTAACAAACTAAGTTTATTATTAAATTTGTTAACAATCCACATATTATTCTTTTAAAACTACGAACTAAATGAAGGACGTGTATGGAGTTTTCTGAAAATATATCCTTTAGGTATTTCCACATTCATAGAAAAAGTATTTGCGAATTATGATTTAAGTAATAGACACCATTGTATTTGCTGGGATAATGTATCTAAGTTTATTAATTATGATTTTCTTAGACATAATAATGCTTTTACCTAACTTTAAATTTGTATAAGTTTTATTGGTTCATGAATATTGGTATAATCCTCTTAATTAGTGTGTCATTTATTTTCATTAATTTGATATTGATGTTCTATTTTCTTATATATATTTTTAATATTATTCAATATTTTCACAATTTTCTTTTGAGAAATGAGGATAGTTCAAAAAGACATTTCATAAATAGTAAACAACACTCTCTTTGTGAATTCCGTTTTAGAAACTTCTTTTAAAGATGCGAATGTTTTTTCTAATATAATTAGTCCATAATTTCATATATAACTTGGTAGATATTATAAGAATTTAATTTACATATACTACAGGTGTAAAATACTTCTATACACACGTTTAATAAGATATCATCATCAATTCAGTAAATATTGAGTAGAAATTCTGTATTTTCATACGTTATGAATATGATCTATTTACTAATTTGGTGATTCTTACCATGTAAAAAAACATTTAAGCTATCAAGAATCACAATACCGTAATTGGTCCAGTGAATTAAGAGATATCTATGGTACAACAAAACAAAAAAAACTGAACCATTTTACAAGTTCATCCAATTTATTGACATAACGTCAGACAAGGTAAACTTTTACTGAATGTTATTTACAATGATGGTAAATATAAATTAAACTTTTCTGTCTAAATATTGTTTTTATTACTTTAAATTGTTTTAATAGTATAATTTTTATGTTTTTATACTGTCAATTAAATAGAAATCAACAATGTCAGTTTATATTATAATCTATGACGAAATAAAAAAAGAAGCATGAAAAGACTGATAAATAAGAGTTTTAAAGATAAATTGTAACAATCATAAGGCTAAGAGGGGAAACCTCCCCAATGTGTACTTGTTACAATACCACGCCTTCTTACCGGTCAGAGGACTCCGGTGGTCAGAACCTTCTGTGGGTAGTCCTTCTCGAGTTGGGTAGCTCTCAATGAAAGCACCAATGTAACAACCATAAGACTAAGAGGGGAACCATCCCTCAAAAGCTAGCTCAAGAAGTTGGAGAAACTCTTACCTTATAAGGCCTCCCTGGTAAGGAGACCTCCCCAATGTGGGACTTGTTAATAAAGAAACATGAAGGTGTAGAAATGATAACAAGTGGCTGAAAATAACAGTAGACTGACCCTTAACGGGTCGAAACTCAATTACCCAATTGACTCCTTATTGCCGAAGACAATGCCATCCGCTTTTATTTTCTTTTGTTTTTTTCACTAAAAAAACAATATTTACAAACCGTATCATGAAAATATTCGCCATGCCACGTTTTTCATTTACAATCATCTACAGGCACGTTCAATAGAGATCAATGGTATATACAACTACCCAGCAAAATGCTGTAATTCTTTGAAATAAAAAATTACATGGGAAACTAAACCTTGTCAAATAACTCGTCTTGACCCGCTATCTATTATTCTATCGGCGGCAGCTGTAGATCAAAACCAGCACAAATAACCGGGAAGTCATCAGATCTGTCGACTTAACTAAAAATCTATGAACATTGCTACATTTCAACTCAGCTTGGCTATTTTTCAGGTTCAATAAAATTGTATCTTCATCTATAACTTTTATGGTACAATTGGCATTTAAGAAAATAGCAGTCCATGCCCAACTGAAAATCATAACGCAGTCATCAAGTAAACAAGAACGGCCACTGAAGAAGACAATATTTTTATGAACCAAAAGAAAGTCTAGACTCTTGATGCATAGCTAATTTTCCCGAAATCGATATTTGAGGAAGCTGTGAATTGCATAATGTATTCATCGTCGGGTTGTTCAAGGACACAATATAATATTTCCGAAGATAGACGGTTATCAAATATCCAATATCATTCTAGGTTTCTGGGAAAATGTAACAGATAAATAACAAAAGGGACCCAACCAACTAGCAATGTGTTGAGATTACTCGAATTATAGAATTACAGGGCATAGTTATACTTGAGCAATAGAAGGCTGAGACAGCAAATTATAGAATTCAAGGGTATAGTTAATAGTAAGTAATAGTAGGCTATGGCTGAGTCTGAGACAACAAGTTATTAAATTCCAGGGAACAGTTGTTAGTAGGTATGGATGACAATTAAACTTCGTCCCGATGGGGGAAAATCCGAGTTGACCAGGGGATGGGGCGGGTTCGGGTTTTCTCCGCTTTAAAAATCGGGGCGGGGATGGGTAATGCAATCCCCACCCCGACCCCGTCCCCGCCCTGATTTTATATTTAAATTTAAATTTTAAAATATTATTATTTTAAAAGTATTTCCTTTTCTTTTTCTATTACATATAAGGTCATTTTTTTATATTTCACCAAATTTTTTTTCTTCTACCCACTTTTTAATTTTTTTGTCTTTTTTAATCTTTTATATCAATTAATTTATTACATTATTCTTTCTCTTATCTTTCAGTTTTTCACATCTCCTTAATCTCTCCTATCAATTTTTTTTTCAATCTTTTCAACCAATTTGATAAACACAAAGTTAACTTTTTTTATTCTCTATCTTTTTCTAAATATTTTACATAAATCTTAGTAGTAACTAATATTATTTTATTTATAATTTATATTTATTAGGTTTTATTATGTCATATTTTTTTATCTTATTATTCTTATTATCATATATCAAATTTTATCTTAATAAAATAATTATATTTTAAAGGATTAAAGGAATTGATAATTTAAATTTTTATTACTTCGATCTAATTGAATAAGAATTAACTTATTAAATATTTCTTTATAAACTATATATTTCATATTTTTAAATGACAACTTAAAAATGAATTAACTTATCTATATAATCAAATGTTTGAATACAATATTATAATAATAGTGTTATAAATATTCAATTATTTGAATACAGTATTATAATAATAATAATATTATAAATAAAAAATGATTAAATATTTCTTTTACATACATATTTTAATATAAATATAATAAATTAAAATATATATATTTAATTAATAATAATTATAAATTATAAATATTTATTTATATATAAAAAATAGATAGAAAAATTAATTTATTATAAATGTAATTATCTTTTAAAAATAATATAAATCGAGGACGGGCGGGGCGGGAACCCGAAACCCAACGGGGACGGGGATGAAGACTTAATTTCTAACCCCGGCAGGGGCGAGGACAGGGATGGTTAAAAAAGTCGAGGGCGGGGACCGGGGAGGCAAAACCCGCCCCCGCCCCGCCCCGTTGGCATGCCTAATAGTAAGTAATAGCATGGACTCTATCTTAATTTTAGCATATGTAAAAGCACCGCATCACCGAGGCAGAATTAGGAAGCTCTGAAAAGGCTTCAATATTTTTCTCATAGCTTTTAGTTGGAGGAAGCATCATATTGCAAAGAAATAAACTTAGGAATCCAGTAAGTCAGTAACTGAAAGTAAATACCTCTAATCAAATGCGTAGGGATCATCTGCATAGGGATTAAGAGACCCTTCAGAAAACAAATCACCTATATTTGAAGGATGAGTATGTCCTCCTCCTTTGATGTTCTGCATTAATTATATATAAGAAAGAAAATTCATATAAAGAGTACTACAGCACACCAGGAAGCAGCATACCAAATGCAAAAAGACTTACATGTCACCATAAACAAAAGTATCTACAAACATTATTATCCCATTAGGTTATCTTATATTCTTTTAGAAACAAAAGGGGGAAAAGTAAACTTTCAGCACAAACCCTTCGTCCTTTTGCTTTTAATTATACTATATCAGGTGCATTTGATGAAATAACTAAATATTGTGCCAAAACAATTGAACCTAGAGAAGCATAAGACTCAAACAGAACTAATTAAAAATCTCACAATTTACTGAGAAAAGATAGATAGTTTCTACATAAGGTAATCAACATGGAAAGGACTCAAGTACAAAAATAGTAACTCGATTAAATATTAGAAAAAAATCTGTAAACTAATTAGACTATATTAGTTCCTAAGATTATCATTTCTGGTATCATCAGGATAGTGTAATTATGCAGATTAAGTGAGTGCATTGATATGGATCGATAAAATATAATTTTGGATCAATTTGCTTTTGTAAAATTAATTGTGGTTAAAATTTGTGTTTAAAATAACTTGATTTTGTTTGGATAACAACGTGTATTAGAAGACTGATATTTTAAAATAATATCGTTTAGGGTTTAGGGATCTTTTAAAAGAATATTGTTTAGATACATTAACTGAAGATTGATTAACATGGATTTTGTTCACGTATACTTCATTCAAATATAATTAGCTATTTTGATATATACATAAAAAAATTTCAAATAGACTTTTATTGTAGTATATTATCATTTCATGTTAATTATTAAATTAAACGTGAAATATATGCATAATATTTTTTTAAATGGAGAAAAAACAACCATCAAAAAGGTAAATAAGATTCCGAATGAAGCAAGAAGCTGTCGCTTCAACCGTAACATGGTGTTTATCAAGTGAAAGTAACTTTGCTTTGACAACAAAACATGAAATATCACAAATTTGGGTCAAACGTGGTTTGTCTAAAATTTAGGGGATTCACCATTAGTTTACAACAAAACCAAACATGTAAAAAATGCTGAAGTTTCATAACTTTGCTCCTTGATATGTTAAATGCCACGAGCGAGCTATGCATGACATACCAATAAAAATGAAGTTTCATCTGAGTTGGTTACCTTAACAACACTTCCAGGAGTATTTACTTTTGGTGTATTAGTCTTTCGATTTGTAGGATCCTGAACAAGAGATCTGGTGTGTTAGTGTTATGTAGTTCATGGGTGTATATATATATAATAGCATTTAGATTACATGCCTCAAACATGACTGTACTTCTTGTTTTTCTTTTTTTTGTGATTGTTCTTCCATTAGAAGTCTCAACTTCATATTCATGGCGAGTTACCTGCAAATTCAGTTAAGTAGCTAACGTAATTGTCAAATATAGTAAGTTATTTACTTCTACTATCTTTCCAGGTAACGAATTAAGATCCCTACAATACTTATCATTTTCTATGTAATTGCTGCAATAAAAGCCTACTCTTGGCCGTTAATTCATAGTGAAGAAAGTCACCTTTCTATGATGCTTGGGAATGCTCACTGCATTTCCGGTTTTACTGTTGTCCACTTTTTTCAACAACTTTGGTACTGGTGTTTGTGTTGCTTCAAAGTAAGGAGAGTCCTATGTAAAGAGAGAAAAGACCGAAAATATTATGTGTCTTGGGGAGAACATAACAATAACTTGTTATGAAGGAAGGAAAAGAGTAAAATTTCTTTTTCTAGAATTTCATTCTTACCAGGTTATGCTGCTGATTTCTTTTGCCACCACAAGAACTCCTTCTCTTTATTGACGAAATGGAGTAATCCTACCATGTGAAAAGCATTATGCTAATTTTGCAAATTCAATTGAAATTTATTTCTAAGGTTGATTACATTTAGTGGGCTAATGTATTCTAACACGTATCTACCAGATTATATCATATTCATATGTTCATGACATTTTTCCCGGATAAAATTGTATAGGTATCCTAATCACTTCCAAACCATCTTTTCAGGACAATTTTAAGAACATAAGATATCCCAACAAAAAAATAAATTACAATTGGAATAGCGTTCAACCTCTGTCTTCCTTCCGTTTGTGAAGAGCAAAATAATCAATAAAAATATTTTTAACTCTAAATTTTAAAACAGCTATCCTACAAGAAACTAGAAAATCAAATCTGTCTGATAGCATGTCATTAAATAGTCATTACAAATTAGTTATGCTTTATGTAACAAGATTATGCCTATTTCATTAGTGATAATATATATTACCAGGAATAAGATGCATGTGAACCAGTAGTGTTTGTTTATTCACATGCTTGGATTGAAAATATATTAAAGAAAGCAATAATTTTAGGTTAAAATATTGTACCAGAAATGTTTCATTTCCCCAACTATGCCTATTTCATTAGTGATAATATATATTACCAGGAATAAGATGCATGTGAACCAGTGAGTGTTTGTTTGCATCAACCTGCTATGAATTTAAGTTCCCACTATTCACATGCTTGGATTGAAAATATATTAAAGAAAGCAATTTTAGGTTAAAATATTGTACCAGTAATGTCTCATTTCCCCAACTATGCCTACCGAAGGATAAATATAATGCCCAATAATTGGTATCCCAACTTGAAAATTAACAAATATAGCATCTATTTGGTGAGGGACGCAGACAAAGAGACTGAAACACAAGTCAACCTGTTTTGAATTCACTTCTTGGTCCTCTTTGGGTTTGTCACTCATCACTTTCCACTGCAACTGCAACAAAGCCCTTTGCCTGTCTTCCTACAACATACCCCAAAAAATAGAAATAATAAAATTATGAGATGAATTAATTTATTGTCATTCCATACTTTGGATTTTTGAAGATGCAACTCTTCTTCCAGCTTCCGACACTCATCTTCAAGTTCACACCTCAATGCTTTAATCTGAGCTTCATGATCATTCCTCATAAACATTGTTTTCTACATACAATTAAGCTATCAATAGCTGAGAATTTTGTTTACAAATCTTGGCTTTGTCAAACGTGTGTGGGTGTGTGGCACCTCTCTCAGTTCATTTTCAGCTTGCAGTTGGGTACGCTTTAGCTGTTCATTGTGTTCAGCTATGAGGCTTAGTTGCTTCTTGTCATGCTCCTGCTGCATTTGACTAACCTGTAAATTGAGCAGGAAATCAAGTGACCTGTTGCCTGGAAGTTTTTCATCTTTAAATTAATCAAATTACATAAAAAAGGAAAGTAATAGTGCAATTACATTCCCGTTTAAAGAAAGGTGCAGGACTATAATAGTCAAAGACCAACTTTAATGTACTTAGACCAATTTAAATTATTACTTGAAAATTTTGATACATTAACATTACAGATTTAATGTTAGTATCATGGACCAATTATCCAACAAGCTATGTTCTTAGGCGACCATACACGAATGATTTTGTTTTGAGTGAATATCCAAATTGGTCCTCCAAAATGCGAAGCACTGTCAAATTGGTCCTCCAAAATAAGTCCCTATGTTATCACTTTAGTTCCTAAATTTAACAACTTATCTACTTTAGTCCTTGAAAATTTGTGAAGTTATCATTGAAGTCACAAAAATTATTGAAATTTGCCTCATATTTTAATGGACCAATTTAAGTATTCACCATTATATTTTACATCTTTAACATGCTCCCTGTGAAAGAGCCTTTTAGCCTTGAAGTGTGGAAAATGCACAAGTCCAGTTAGGACCTACCTTGGGCTGAAATTCAACCTCTAATAAGAGTAAAAAGGATTGAACTCTAGACCCACTTAGTCGTAGAGAATTTGGTACCATGTCATGAACTAACTATCTGAAAAGCTTAAGCTGTTAGGTAATGATAGATGAATGACTTTATATTGCATATCTAAAATATTAGTCACATAATAATTTTATTTTAAAAGTTTATTTTATTAATTAGAACGTAATGTAATTGAAAATATAACCAAAGACAAATTGGACCACTTATAATCCCATGTAATAGAAAATGCTATGCCAGATTACTTCTAAGTAGCCAATAATTTAAAATTCAACACTTTCTATGCTTACCAGCAACGCGTGTTCCCCCTGAATGCGCATCAACTGCTGGCTTGATTCTTCTTTGCATTCTGCAAGTTTTTTATCACACCTTCCCTCAATTTCGGCAATAGTTTTGTCAGCCTGAAAGTTCAACTTGATTAGAAACAAGTTAATGGAAATAACATGCTACATATGCCAGGGTTTCATATCAAACCTTGTCTTTTTCCATAGTCACAATTTCCATCTTCTCCAATTCATACTTCCTCTTAACGTCATTAATAGCCTGTTCAAAAATGAAGATTCCATGTGAAGTTAAGACACTATGTGTCAAGCGCCAATAGTAGGTAACCATTTATATATACAAGACCTGATCATTTCTCTGAGATATTTCTTTCAAATGCCTTGATAGTTCTAACTGTTTATTCTCTACCATTTGATCATATTGCTTTCTAGCTTCTGAAAGTTTGCTTTCAGCTGCAGTCAATAGTGATATTTTCTGCAATGTCATCCAAAAAACTTAAATAATCACAAAAACCAGTCAGGAACAGGCAATTTGCACTATAGTTTGCTCCAAAACCTCTGTGATTTGATCTTCTAGATTCTTTTCCTGTTCCTTGCAATGTAAAATACACTGTTCTTTTTCCTCCATGGCATTACGGAGCTGGATTACTTCTTTATCAAGAGAATCAGCATGCTGCTCTAGTTTCATTCTCTCCTTTTGCAGAGTATCTATTTCCTCTGATTTCTTCAATATCTCTGCCTGCAGTCTTTCTGTATTTTCTTTGTTTTCAGTCTCTAATGCTGAAACCTTCAGCTGTAAGTCTTGCTGCAAAACATTAAATACCTCAATAAAGAACATGACAATGTATGTGAACAGGAGTTAACTGAGGCAGATTAACTTTCCATACCACGTGGTTCTCTGATGATCTAGAACTCTCTAATAGAGAGTCAGCTTTCTCTTCTAATTTGGAAATTAATAACTCTGCTTCTTTCTTTTTTGAGATTAAACTTTCAATATCTGACTCCAAAATTTGAATTCTCTCAGCAGCTAATCGAGAGTCCTGTGTAAGTTGGGCTGCAGTAGATTCTTGAACTTTCTGAAGTTCATCCACAGTTTTGCTTAACTCGAGATTTTTCATTTGAATTGTGTTCTTTTCTAATTCCAAGACTACAAATTTATTATTAAGCTCACTATACTGGTATTGAGCATGGCTTGAGAAAGTTTCTCTTTCCTTCTGAACCAACTGGAAGCATGAAGCATAAAGCAAACTCATTTCATCAAACTTGTTCAAAAGATTCAAGCTTTCCTTGTCTAAATTAGACAAATGTGCAGCCAATGACTGAAGTTTTTCTTTAAGGTTTTTAATTTCCTGAAGTGACATGTCAAGCTTTTCTGCAAGCCCAGCATTCAACAATTGAAGATCACTCTTTTCTTTCTCCAACTTCTGTTGACTGGTTATGTGGTGTATAATTTCATCTTCTTTAACTTTTATCTGAAGGTGAACCTCTTCCAAATTTGAGTTCAAATTCTCTGTAGCCAATCTACTAGATGTTAACATTTCTTCTAAATTCCTTATCATATTATCTGCAAACAAAGTGAATTTCCATACAACAATTCAAATCAGTAGCAAGTTGAGATACAGGATATCTAGTCTGTTGAAAATTATAAGGATTTTGGTAGGAAAAGAAAAAATATTTCAGACTTAATAACCTGAAATTGGATGAATTTGATGTGATACACAAGACAAAGTACTAGCCCAAGTATAACGTTAGAAGAAAGTTATTTAGTGTTATCTTAGTCCACAACATTAATTATATGTCTAGAACCTCAAATGAGACAGTCTTCCATGAAAAATAAAATAATGTTATATCTCTTTTTATCATTTAAGTTTGGAATAGGATAGACTCTTATACCATCTTACAAATTGGTTTAGTCTTGACTCAATGTTATCAAACCAACTTGTTAGATGAGGATTACTCCACTTATTATATTTTGTCACTGTCTTTAGTCGATGTAGGACTTGGGTTTTCTCCCAATAGCACTAGACAAAAAACTGAAATGTCCTGCTAATAACCTAATCAATTTGTTAAGTGTATAATATAAATAGATATAGCAAGACAAACAGAAATAGAAGTCTAGCATTCATTTTAGTACAAAAATACAAGGATAGTCATAGATTTAATTTATCTTATCTTATTATCAGCGCCAAGTGCAATTACCCTTTACCTTAAATAAGAATGCTCTTTTTTGTTACCCTGACATACTGACACACCTTGGTTTGAAATGTAGTCAAAGGGAGGATTATTACTACTTCTGACAACTCATGTACTGACTACCAAAAGGGTTATAATAATTCCAAGAAATAAACATTAAAGACGAGAGCTAAGTACAAATACTGAACAATATTATAAAGCATAAAACATGCAAAACAGGAGAAGACAATTTATTGATATTCATGACCCTAAGCACCACAAAGCAAACAAAAACAGACACATAAGCTGAATTCATGACCCTAGACGACCAAAATATGTTTAATAATGACCAACCCATCAGATTTCTTTTTTTTTCCAATATAATTCATTAATACCCTACATCCCAATAAATAAAACATTAAACATAATCGTATATTTTCTAAGCAATTGCAATTTGCGACATAATCTCACCTTTCTCTTGTATAAGATTAGCAATTCTGCAATGTTCATCTCTGTGAAATTTCTCTTTTTCTTCTGTAGCAAATTTAAGCTTCTCTAGCTCGTTATCACCTATAATCGGGATAACCATATGTTACCTATGGGAGGATTATGGATATTACATATTCGAACATGACAAATATAACAAATCAAACCAAGCTATGTTTCAATTCAATTTTTTTACCGAAGTTTTAAACTAAAATGAACTTACGGGTTCTAATTGTTTCCTGAGCAGAATCTAGCTTCAAAGACAAACCATCCATCTGTTTATTCAAGCTATCAAGAGCTTCTGAACTTGCTGACAGTTTATTTTCCAATGTTTCCTTATCCTTTTCGGCTATATCAGCAAGATAAACCGATAGACTAGTTAAAAGAAAAAACAAATGAAAAAAAAATAAAAATAAATAGAAAACATTGGGGAATTGAACATTCATACCATCCTGAACTAAACCAGCCAACTTCTGTAAAGTATCCGTAAGTTGATCACATAAAGTCTTAGTAGAAGAGAATTTAGACTCCAGTCCCTTCCACAGTTTCTCATCTTCCTTCTGCTTGACCTTGAGTTTGGCATTTTCGTTTAAAGCATTCTGCAATTTTTCTTCTAATGCATGCACACACTCCTGCGACTTCTTAAGCTTAGCATTCTGCCCAGGAACAGCAATAAAGTAACAACATTTCAATAAAACAAAAATACGAAACCCTAAGGCATCATGCAATGTAATTAACATGCGCGCAATCGTCGCCTCACAGCGCAAGCTCAATCATAAAGGAAAATATCATCATACCGCATTTTCAAGATCAGTCTTCACGGAAGCTTGCTCTTTCACCAATTTCTCTGCTCATGAAGAAACCGAAGATGCACGGCCACGTTACGATAAGAATTTCCGACGTAATCATTGTTCCAGAATAAGGAGGAAACTATAACGAAAATCACTTAAGTGAATTGAAATTGCGTTCAAAACCTGCGGTGAGCTTCAGGCTTGCAAAACTTCCCGATGAAACGGAATCCGCAGAAGGACGCGAAGATAATGGCTTGGAAGTTCCCGAAATGGAACCGTACAACGATTTGAATTGGTCCAGGCTCTTGGAGATTGGGAATCCTAGCTTCTTCTGCATTGCGAAGATCGAAATGGAACCCTAGAAAATGTGAGTGAAGTCTTCGAGAGTTTCTCTTCTTTGGCACACTCTGCTGCTGCAATGGACGTTTCAGTTTGAAATTTAGTTAGGCGCCATGCCCACGCATTATTTATACTCTCGTGGCCCGGGTTCGTGTTGGTGTAGACCGTTGACGATGCTTATGGACAGAATCCTCTATTTTTCTTTTCATCATATTAAATTAAATAATTTTTATTTTTATAATTTATCGTAGAAGAAAAAACAATTTTATGGGATGATATTTTTTTTATTTTAAAATTTTTAAAAATTACATAAATAAATAAGTTATATTTGAAAAAACATAATTTCTTAATTTTAATTTTAATTTAAGAACTTTTGTGATAAAATCAAAATATTAAATACAGACAACCAAATACAATAACTTTTCATAATAAATTTGTCGATAAATTATGATTATCGCTCAATTATTTAAAACATGAATTTGTAAATATATTCAGTTACTGATGAAAAAGAAACAAGCGCATACCTGCATATCTAATCATGGGCACATGAATTTCTTTAATGTAACCAAAAAATATCTCTTAGTTTAAAACAAAAATATGAAAATTATTTTCTAAGTATAACTATGGTATCACATTTTTCACAATTCACTTCTTCATTGCCTGGGAAAAATGTTGTTCCCAAATCTGGTTAATAAAAAGAACTACCAACCTCAAAAACTCTAATTCCATTAAATAGATCTCATTCTTCTTCACCATTAATATCCCACATTTTTTTTTCATAAAGTAAAACACATAAGTGTTTTATGCTTAAGAAGATAGTTTTGAGTAAATACAAATGTGAATTAGGAAAAGAAAGTTTATTTACTGTTACTTGCGGATTTTCTTGGGAGCTGATGGATTGTAGCCCCCTCAAAGTTTTGTAACTCCCATGTAATTTATGATTTTGGTCCCTCTAAACTTAATGAACATTTAATATATTTACTTGTATATTTATAATTTTATCCTCTCAGTCTCTTCTCAGTTTTGTAACTCTCATATAATTTATGATTTTTTCCTCCTCAAACTTAATGATCATTTAATATATTTAAGTATATATTTACAATTTTATCATTTCATCTTCTTATTTTCTTTTATATTTATTTATTATTTATTAATAATATATTATTTAACCCCTTCAAAATCAATGGTCAAGATCCGTTACAGTTTACTAGGAAAAAAATAAATGTAAGAACATATAGAAAAGTGAGAACATTATGGGAACCACTTGCGTGTCTTTGGTATTTAAAACCTTGTCCTGCACCAAACACAAATTTTTGAGCAAGAACAATATATAACCATTAATTATTATTATGTAAAAATAAATATATTATATATTAATATTATTTATTCTATTTTGATATTAAATATAAATAAAAAAAATTAATTTTAAATTTTAAAAATACCTAAAAATAAAATTATAGATTATTTTTAAAAGAAAAATATAAATGAAATAAATTTTATATCTTAAAATTCAATTTAATAAATAATATTAATATATTATTTAAATTCAGAACAACCGTGGTGTCCCTTATACTATGCAGTGGAGAAGTCGTTACGTCGGACTCTCGTTGGTTGCCTCTATCGCGGATAGGACTTGGCTACGGTTAGGAAGGAGGTGTTACAAGCGGGCTTCTCAAATATTGTGTTGACCACGATGGGAGATGATAAAGTCTTGATTGAGTCAGATGCAGGAATGAACTTGGAGGATATTGTGTTGCTAAATATGAAGCTTTGAGAGCGTTGGTTTTACGAAGTCGGTTGGTGGTATTCAAGGACAGGCGTGTGTGTTCATCGGGAAACTTTGGTCAACTGTTATGGGGTGTCGTTACATGCATGGTTTGAGACGTTTTTTAAGAAGATGGTGTCATGTCTGGGAGACTTTATTCAGGTGGATGAGGCTACAAAGCGGAGGAGGAGATTAGATTATGGACGTGTTCAATTGTGTACAGTGGCGGATCTTGACTATTGATCTTGGAGGGTCAAATAATATATTATTAATAAATAATAAATAAATATAAAATGAAGTAAGAAGATGAAAGAGTGAAAGTATAAAATTGTAAATATATACTTAAATATATTAAATGATCATTAAGTTTGAGGGGGACAAAATCATAAATTATATGAGAGTTACAAAACTGAGGAGGGGCTGGGAGGATAAAATTGTAAATATACAAGTAAATATATTAAATGTTCATTAAGTTTGAGGGGGCCAAAATCATAAATTACATGAGAGTTACAAAAATTTGGGGTGTTCAAGGGCCCCCTCAGCTCCCAAGAAGATCTGTCACTGATTGTGTATATCGGCATTGGCGTTGATAAATGAGGGGACTAAAGCACTTATTAATGATTTATGTTTTCCGATACATATGGTGGAGAAGCATGACAGACAGTTCCATGCGGATATTACTGATGATGCATCCTTGAATGACTCTGATTATATGGAAGGTGTGTCTCTTGACTTGCATGAGGTTGAAAATTATTCGTCGGAGGAAGAAGGGCGCATTCGAGATGGAGTGGCTGGTGTATGGTTTGGGATGGTGGTTGGCACGCCTACTGTGGGGGCTATTACGGAGGAGCAATTGTGTCCTAATGATAAGGGAATAGGTACGGAGACGGTGGTTGAAGGAATCCTGGAAGTGTTGCCTTCAGCGAGGCTACATGATTCAAAATTGGAGCCGATGAGGGAGGGGGAGTTGTTAGTAAGTGAGGTTGCTATGGCAAGAGGATCTGGAGAGGAGGGTGGTGTTGTTAGCATTGGAGAGCAAGGGAACATGACCTATGATAAGGGCTAGAGCAATTGTCTCCTAATGATGTGAACATAACCTATGATAAGGGCTAGAGCAAAGGAAACTCTTCAACAAGTATTGTTGGGTGACCAAATTATGTTTTGGATTAATCAATTAATGAGCTTTAGTTTGATTTTATTTTAAGTTGTAATTAGGGCCCAATTGAAAATTTAGTCATCAGCCTTTGGGAGACCAAGGAGTGCATAGCTGATTGACTTTTGGTTGCCACAGTTTCTGATACAATCAGCCATTAAGTAGTTTTCAATTCTTAGGTTAATAAATTATTATTAGCATTTATGTTCCTTTAATAAATATTTGTAACTCTGATGGCAAAACTTCTTTATAAGCTGGACAATTTTTTATCAGAAATAACAAGTGAAATTTTATTCAGAAATATTAGAGTTTACCTCTTTTATCTTAGTGAGAGTGATTCTCCTAAATTCTTGAGTGATTCAAGAATCCTTAGTTGTATCAAAGGACTTTCACATACTTTTGTGTTGCCTCCCTTGGGAAAAGTGATTTTTTCCTTCCACCTTCTTTCTAATTCCTAAATTTCTTACAAGGTTCTAATCCTAAAGATCATAAATCACCCCTTATGATTCACATTAGTTGGTATCAGAGCCCTGGTTTAAAGGTTTGAACATCAAATTGATGGCAGAGGAGGAAAAAAAAATGAGAGAAAACTTTCTTCAACAAAAGAGAGAAAAACAAATGTTAGTGAAACACTTGAAGTGAGGAAGAACTATTTAGCCATAAAAAGTGAGTATAATGTTTGTTCTACATTTAATTTGTCAGACTTATCTCTTTTTAATATGGATGACGAATTCGATTTGAGGACAAATCCTTTTCAAGAGGGAGAGAATGATTTGAACATGACCTATGATAAGGGCTAGAGCAAGGGAAACAAAGGAAGTTCTTCAACAAGTATTGTTGGTTGACCAAATTGTGTTTTGGATTAATCAATTAATGATCTTTAGTTTGATTTTGTTTTAAGTTGTAATAAGGGTCCAATTGAAAATTTAGTCATCAGCCTTTGGGAGACCAAGGGGTGCATAGCTGATTGATTTTTGGTTGCCACAGTTTCAGATACAATCAGTCATTAAGTAGTTTTCAATTCCTAGGTTAATAAATCATTATTAGCATTTATTTTCCTTTAATGAATATTTGTAACTCTGATGGCAAAACTTCTTTATAAACTGAACCATTTTTTATCAGAAATAACAAGTGAAATTTTATTTAAAACTATTAGAGTTTATCTCTTTTATCTTAGTGAGAGTGATTCTCCTAAATTCTTGAGTGATCCAAGAACCCTTGGCTGTATCAAAGGACTTTCACATCCTTTGTGTGTTGCCTCCCTTGGGAAGAGTGATTTTTTCCTTCCACCTTCTTTCTAATTCCTAAATTTCTTACAAGGTTCTAACTCTAAAGATCCTAAATCACCCCTTGTGATTCATATCACTACATGATTCAAAATTGGAGTCGATGAGGGAGGGGGAGTTGTTAGTAAGTGAGGTTGCTATGGCGAGAGGATCTGGAGAGGAAGGTGGTGTTGTTAGCATTGGACAGGGGTGTGATTCGGAAAAAGTGCAGGATGATGCTGGCCAAATGCATGTGTCGACTGGAGATGTCGAACAAGGTGGTGTGGTGGAGAGTATGGGTGGTGTACAGTCTAAGGGAGTGAGTATGCAGGAGTTGTTGTGTCATGTGGGTGAGGTAAATGGGTTTGATAGTGACTCGTTCGGATTAGATCAATTTCTTTGGCCAGAGCATGCCCAGGAAGTATCGAGGGTGGCATATGACACTAGTGTTCCTGTGGTCTTCCTTCCAGCCAAATTGGGAGTTTTCGTTGTGCGATCCAATGTGTGGCATACATTACAAAAAGCTTGTAGTAGGAATCTCAAGTGCCAAAAGAGTGGCCTTGGCGCTGTGGTGGTGGATAGGGTCTCATCGATGGTGCCAGATCATGTTGCATCGGATAATGAGATTGGCGTGTCTTCGGAGGTTGACCATCTACGTGCGAATGATGAGGTGGTGGCAGATAAGGTGATGAAATTGTTTCGTTCAATGGGGATTGTGGTGCGGGATAATGAATCCGAAGTGAGGGAGAAATTAGTGGTTATAGAGATCCGTGATAGAAAATTGGTGGAGGAAAAGAGGGGAGAGTTTGTTCATC